CAAGCTATTTTCATTAACTATAATATCAATAATATCGACTTATAAAAGGATTAATATTGGTTTGTCTTGTATGGTGTACATTTATATATATGAAATTGATTAAAGTACAGACGGAATGTTGTCAAGGCCAAACCTATTATTGACATTCCGCTTAGATTGGAAAATTGTATAGATCTAGAGCAAAATTCCCTTTGCCTACAGATAGGCACTCGCTTAAGCAAGAACTTAACAATCAGCTTACAAATCCCTCAACAAAAGTGGCACTCAAAGGCAACTCGGGATCTCCACAGAGTATGCCGGGAGCTTAATCAACGCTCAGCAGACGGCAACAGCAACAGAAGCGCAACAGCAGCGCAACAGCAGCGCAACAGCAGCGAGGCATGAATGTAAAATAGCGGGAGTTGAAACACACGATGCTCAGATTTACGCTTCACTTCGCTCTGCAAGGGGCAGGGGCAGCAGCAGGGATTGGAGCTCTCCCCTTTCGACCAAGCCAAGCATACCAACTCCTAGATGGCAGTTTTGAGAATGCTAGTAATGAGAAAAATCTAAAGGTAACACTTAAAAAAGCTCTCTTCACGCATGGGGACTAACTAAAAAGTGGGCTACAATTCTTCGCATAAAAGTTTGCCCACGGCTACCACCCAATGTTGGTGGTGGATGGTGGCATAATGAGGGTAGACCCAGAAACGGGTGTTCCAAACCATCTCTATTGTATCCCTCTGGGCTTATAATATATGTGTTGTGCTGTTGCTGTTGCTGCTGTTGCTGCTGTTGCTGTTGCTATTGCCATGACCGTTGATGTAGCTGATGTTGTTGCTTTAAATTCTCTCGTATATGGTATGTATAATTCTTATTTGTAACCGCGCGTGAAATTTACACGCATTTTGAAGTCTAATTTGACATTAATGCAATACCCTCAGGATAGTACGCATTACACTGCGGTTCCCAGAGTCTCTATGTGGGTATAAATATGTATATATATATGTGTGTGTGTGCGTGTGCTGTGTGTGTGTGTGTGTGTGTGTGTGTGTGTGTGTGTGTGTGTGTGTGCTAGCAAAGTGGTTGGTTAACTCGCAGGATTATTTTCTCTCAGGCGAATATGGCAGCATGTTTAAGTTTTCGTTACCCATAGTTTATATTTTACAGTAGCTATTATACTGTGTACCCTGTTTAAAAAGTTGTAATAAAACAGTTCTTGTACACACATTTAAAAATAATTGCTTTCTGCACTAGAGCAGCATTGCTTTCATTTTCTTAAGTTGAATTGCATTGGACTGAGTCCAAAAATAAAGAATAACTATCCTTTGTAGTAACAGTAATAAGTGTTTAAGTGATTTTTACCCAACTGAAACGGATTTCGAAATTTAATTTAGTAAAGGTCATCCGATATTATTTTAAGCTCATTGTTATGCAGGTCAGCAAAACAAACAAAGCCAACCACCAATTAAACTTGTTTCGTTTGCCTACACATTTCAAATTAACTTTTATGGCAAATCTATATTTTGTTGTTTTTTTTTTTGGGGAACCATTCAGCTGGCATAACTATAGTCAAATTTATTTAAAAACTTGAAACTTGACCAAGTTCTAGCCAATTTTGGCCCAATAAAAAAGCCAATGCAACAAACCCAACCGAAACGACAGGAGTTCAAGCAGTGAAGATGACTCTGGTCAAAGGCAAATACCGCTGATTGTGACAATCAGCGTGACAATAAAATTGGCGCACAGTTGCAGAGGATTGGGAACCGGAGCTCGGGATTTGAGCTGGAGATTGAGCTGGGGATATATGGGAGATAAACGCTGGCAACAGCTGCTAGCTTTAGCAATCAGCCAGCCAGCCAGCCAGGCAGGCAGGCAGGCAGTCAGCTTTAAACTTTGGCAATTTCCATGCCAACAAAATGCGATGAAAGAATTTTAAAATTCCGACATGTCAATGGCAAAGTGTGGGGGCGCTGAAGGGGGCGTGGCAGCCAAAATGACAGGCTTGTGACACGCACAGACCAACTGTCACACCCTCCCCTGCAAATGTGTGTGTGTGTGTGTGAATATGTGCGTATGTGATTGTGGCTAACCCTTGCAATGCGAATTTTATAAAATTGTCATGGCATACACAAAACCAAAAGCAAGCCAAAAGAAACACAAAACAAAGCAAAGCTAAAGGAAAGCAATGATGATGGCTTTCTTCTTGTCCCTTTTTATATTTTTGCTCTTCCAGTTGCCTGAAGGCATTGTTGCTATTCGTGCTGTTGTTGTTCTTGTTTTTGTTATTGCAGCTGTAACATTATCTAAGCTAACAAATTGTCAACACGTACAAATGCGTTCACTCAAACGTAAACGGGGTAATAACCATTTTTCGTAATAATTTTATGTCATAACAAATCTAGGTTATACTCGTACGTATAAGCGTTTTTCCTTCGCTGCTGCCTCACCTACCTAGACTTACCCCTCCCACCCGCTGACACTCCTACCTTCAGCTGGGCACCCAGCTGCGTTTCAAATAAAAAGGGGAAAACATGTCCAGAAACAGAGTGAGATATTTCGACTTATACAAGCAGAGTTGACTCGATCATTTCTAAGGATACTGGGTATCTGCAATGTTCTATCACAACTTTCAGTATAATATCAGTGGCGTTATAGAGAATTACCAGCTTGTAAAAATATGAAATTCAGCTGGAAAATGCATCTAATTACTCTAACAAGTTCCGCGTTCCGTAGCATTTGCATTTTTCTATTTTGTTGCAAGCCACGTGTTATTTTCATTGGCTAAATTTGCTGGCTTCCTGCAGGCTGCTGCTGCTGCTGTTGATATTGTCACTTCTTTTCTTTATATAATACCCTGTACGGCTTGAGTGGGGAATATTGTAATTTATGTTAATCTTAAATTCAGATAAAAATAATTAATACAATTTTATTTATAATTACTGGAACCATATACAATAAAATACATATGCACACAATGTTCACAAATAGTTGCAGGGTATCTGCAAATTGTGCACTCTCCACTCAAGCATTCTTATATATTATAATTTTTTTCGTTTGCACAAAAGGCGAAAAATACAATAGCAACACTTCATCGCCAAAAGAGCCAGGCTGCTGCCAGCCAGCTAGCCAGCCAGCCAGCTAGTCCAAGTATTGAAGCAAAAGTCCTGTCTTGTTGCTTCAGCCTTGCCGTATTCCCGTCCCCACCCGTCAGAGTCCTGCAACGCATAACGCGCCGTTCAACTTAAGAAATAAACTAAACTTGTCACGTAAGCAAAGTTTATGACCAAAAAGCAAAAAGAGACGCAACGACCGACCAGAGATGCCAACGATTTCGCCAGCAGTTGCACAGCAGTGGGAACATCTCGTTGGACACGCGCCATGCCACCAAATCATCTGCAGAGCCAGCCCATCCCCCTTCCCCCACCCAGCTGTCCCCGTAGCTGTTCCCTGTTGCCAGCCGTAACATTGAAGCAATTGCACGCTTTGACTGCGTTTAACTTTTAGCTGGCTGGATGACTGCAGTCGGGGTGGCAGGCAGGCATCAGCAGTGATGGGGCGTGGCAATGCCACTGATTGACCAAATGATAGACAGGCAACACAGTCGACGCTGTTGCAGCTGCAAAGTTTCAGAGTACATAGTGCTCACATCTTGCAGTTTCTTCAATTTTATTGCAACTTTCTTTTGCCCATTTAGCACGTCTGTGCATTTTTTGATTCATCCTCCTCATTTTCAACAGCCTGACAGCCTGTTAAAAATGCATGCAGTTTGTAAACTTCAATATTGCTGAGCAATTCACCAGAAATTGGGTCAATATGTTGCGCCAATTATTGTCGGACTCGCTGCAATTAGCGGACAATCCAAGAGCATTATCTGCGAACATTTCATTATTTCGCAATTGAAAACTGCTGTGAAATAATCCGATTAAATGAGATTAGGCTAGTGCGAGCTCTCTATTTTATATATATTCTAGGAATAATATTGTCTCTTGCAATCTTGATTTTATATCGCCTTAAACTCTTTCACTAACTAACTAAAAAAAATAAGCTATATGATATCCCATAGCCAGCGATTAGGAATATTTCACAACACTTTCTCTCGTTAGCATCGAGGACAATTCACTTGGGACTTGGGCCTGCTACCAGTGGCCCCTCGTCTCATTAGTGCTCGCGAATTTGTCAATGCAAATTCCGAAAGCGACGCCTAATTGGATTTTTGATAAGTGCCATGTCAGGACAGGTTCGACAGGGGTCACACAACAAGGCGACAAGTTTGCCAAGTTGTGAATTCATAAATGCAAATTTCAAACATTGCAAATTAATTGCGAAATCATCGCAAAATTTGTGCTAAAGCATGCAGTTAACCAAAGTAGTTGTACTAATTAAACGCTAATTCAATTACGACTGATTGGCAGGCTGTTCAGTTGGACGTTGAGTTCCCCATTGGGAGGATCACTCCCAAGTGTATGGTTGGTTGTGCCACATATATGTGTATATTTGTCTTTCACACGTGTCAAAGAGAGATTCGCTGGTAGGCCATTAGTTGACGGCAAACAGCCCCAGAGATTTTGGGTCCTTCAATGGTTTTTAATTGAAACTCGCGTTGTCAAAGGTTAACAGCACAAATTGAAATAAATAATTGAGTAGAGCATTTATGCAACGTGCTTCCTTTTGTCTGTCATGTTGCCTTGATGATTTCCAAAATTTTGCAGTACTCAAATTGTGCAATCTTTCCAGTTACTAAAGAAATATTTACTCACCAGCACACGTCACTGTTTGACTTGGTAACACAATGCGGCAAGCTAAGTTGCAAGGGTGATGCATAAGGGCAGCTGGAAAAAATAAATATTTTCTCCTGATTATATTTGCCCAGCGTTATACATATTAGCTTAACAATCAGCCACGTGTGTTTGCCCGCACGCAGCTGTTCTTGGATTGGGTAAAAGTATTGACAATCGAGAAATCAGGTTCAGATCTATCATTCCATAATTTTTATTTAGAATTTGTTTTTTATGGCTATTCGTGGCCAAAATATATATCTAAATCATTCATTAGAATCGGTATCATTAAGATTATTGTCCTCTGGTACAAATATCGATACTTTCCCCTCGGCGTACGCTGGAGTGTGCTTGAACTCATAGTTCTCGTCGATGCCCACAAAATAGGTCGGTAGCTCGCCACGACCCTTGACAAAGGTCATGCCACGGTAGTCACATTGTATTCCGTATTTGTCCAGTATTAAGGCACTCTCCTTGGTTAGATGTATCTTGCCGGCAGTTCCTGTATAATTCATGCGTGATGCCATATTCACAGGGTTTCCCCAGATATCATAGTGCACCTGGGAGGCACCGACAACGCCGGCCATTACCTCGCCACTGGATATGCCAATGGTCAGTTCACCAACAGACAATTGACGATCGGTGGGAAATCTGTCATAGACATTGTTGCACACCCACACAGTTCGCATTAGATCCAATGCAAAAGCAGTTAGTACAAAGACCACTTCTTCATTCTGCACACTTATGTCGTCATTCGACTTGTTTTCTTTAGCGAAATGAGTAAGGCGTCGGTTACGATAAGCTACAATAATTGAATAATTGGCATATACTTCGATGTTATTATCTAAGATAATCACTTACCATTATAAGAATATTCATATGAGCTTTTCCGCTCGTACAGAGAACTGGAGAATCGTGGGTCCAGTCCACAGGCTGCCATATAAGTACTGCCCACAATTTTGATCTTATCCACTGAGAAGCCTTTCCTATAATGGGACAACTACAGCAAAAGTGAAGCTTAAACTCATTACAAATGTACGGCATACAAATAAATATATAAATTGATCTTACGACTTGATCAAATTCGCAAATGATCTCGTTGAGAATACGCAAATTGGGCAAATCCATTTGAATCTTTTGAAGGGAGGCGAACATAACGGATACCATTTTGTAGTCTTCATGGTAAAGCTCGTTTTTGGCCAGCGATGTCAGATAGACATTGACTGTAAACAATAATTAAATTACAATTGGAATTTGAGAAAATTAGATAACTCAACACAATCATACCGACATGGGATGGCAATATGTTTTTCAGTAAAATAGTTATCGATTTATTGGTGATATTCGCAGCCTGCTGTTTTCTTATCAGCTCCATTTTCCAGCTGTGATGATGCAGTGCCAACATATATTTTGATGGTGGCCATTGAAGTTACTCAGCTACTCACTTAAAGTTGACCCTGTTGTTAAACTCCGCCTGTCGCTGCATAAAATATAGGCTTATCAATGTAATTACAAGAATCAAGCTGTGCGCATATTCTGATTGAAAGTATGGATTCGTTGTGCTGCTATGATGAATAATGTATTCAAATTGAAAAAGCATAAGAAGCAAATACGTTGCCACTTCCAGTGTGCTAACTATGATCTTTACCATCCAGGGTATACGTGCGAATAGCATACTAATGCCCAATATTAAGCATACCATGTCTGTGAGTACCCAGGGCTGAAAGCAGAGATATGGATCTGATTCATAATGATACAGCTTGCTCTCAATATGCGCCAACTCGAACATCTTAATATCACAGTCCATCTAGGCAATGATATTTGAAATACACACGTCTTCTTAATTAATACTCTTACCAGCACCAGAGCTATAACACAGTAGTATGATATTATAGTGAGCATGTACATAACCATTCGTATAATGAGATTCCGTTCAATGAAGTCCGCAATGCGAAATATCAAACAACTAAAGCTGGAAAACTTGTGAGTAGGCACTTTTTTGTATCGCCAATGGCAGACTTTCTTGTACCAAGTTATGAAGAGCTGCAGGGTCATCATTATTATAAAACTGGCGACAACAAAATAGTGATTGGATTCACGGCCACTATTTGATATCATCTGTATGTAGATTAAACTGATGCCAACACACCATGATAGCAGTACGCTGTACCTTAACAAATAATCTGGCTGTCGCATATATTTATACTCGAGACGAGGATCGAAAAAGTGCAGTAAGAAAAATCCGAACAATGGGCGATCATACTTTGTTTGTTTCTTTTTGAAAAATCCAAGAAGATTCTTAATGCTGTGGATGAGAACACGTTAAGTCAACATACGATAAGCCAATTTATATTGGGACACACTGAAAAGCACCAGTTGGCAGATTCGCAAGCTCCTTACGCAGCTCTAGGACAATTCCATTGTGCGAATCATTAAGGGAGTTTCTATCGAAGCTAATGGACTCCTTACTTGAGAATTCATAGTCAACTATGTAAATATCGATGCCAGCAATGAGATACGTTCGAATTCTGTTACTTTGCAAATAGGGATTATCGCGGGCCTCCTGGGTGCCGGGTAGAATCTCGTACGAGTGGTCGATCATCATGTCAAGTGTCCTTTGACTGATATGAATATGTCCGGGCAAGCCTGTCGATTCCAATAGATTCGCAATATCCACATCATTTCCTATCATACAAATCACAGGTATAAGTTCAAGTTAAAATTAATGCCATATGGACAGTACCCCAAATGTCAAACTGCAACTTTGCTATGCCTATAGCGCCGGCCAGTATTGAGCCAGAGTGTACACCAATACGCATATCAATGTTCAGATTTCTGTGCTGTCTGAAAGTAGCAGATAGGAGTAAGAAAACGGACTCTTTAGAGTTGTGTCAAGTACTAACTGAACTTCCCGAATGTTTGCAATCATACAATGTCCCAGTTCGACACAACACTTGGCATGATCCGGATTAGGTCGTGTCAGACCTGCCACACAATAGTAGCAGTCACCTAAGAATTTGATGCGTTGCACATTGAAGTGTCCGGCTGCAACATCAAATCTGCCATATAAATCATGCAGCAGAGTGACAAGTTCATTTACTGTCAGAGTTGTGGTTAGATGGGTGTAGTTGACAACATCTGCGTACAGGATAGTGACATCGGTATGACTTTCAATAGCCATAATATGCTGGCTCATGTTCTGGATAGATTTTCGATTTCGTTTGCCCGCCAAGGCAATGCGATTGCGAATGTCCGCTTGGAAGGGTCGTGCTATTTGAGGTGGAAGAATGCTGTCCAGCAGGAGTTTCTCCCGCTTACGTGCACTGCGTAGCGAAACATCCTCCATCACATACTGATAACGATCGAGGAACGAAGAGCGCAAAACGATATCGCTTATCCCGCGATAAAAAATGCCCATAATATTGAGGCACAAATGATGAAGCATATTCGTAGCATCGAAGAACTCCACGATGGGATACCTGGTAGATGTGTAACAAAACCTATAAATGGTGTAGATTATAGATACCGAACATCCAAGTATAATCGGCCATTTGAGAAAGGGAACGGGGAGAAATAAATATATCATTAGAAGAACGTATGTATCGTAGAACGTGCCGATATTCCAGTCGTTAAAATAATAATGATACAAGTGAAGTATTAGATCTGCGGCAGTATTCAGTCAATTAATCGATTTTAGTTTAATATCTAGTTGGATACGAACCCACTACAACCATCAGAAAAACGACAGCCAGTGATGTGACAAGCATTATCCAACTATGTGCCTCCACAAACTTATCGTTAAAGTTGGTACTCAGCACCAGAATCGTGAGTGTTGCATTGACCAGATACAAGAAAACATCGAAATAAATTATTTCACAATACTGTAAATGCAAACAAAATAATGACCAGTTAGTTTACCACACCGATATCGTATAAATGCCCACGTCACATGTCCATAACAGCAGGATACAGTGAAGCGCAGTCAAAGCAGTGTGCAGGAAGATAAACACACCGGTCGAGCTGCAGCGCAGCCGTCTCTCGTACGAACCATATTCTTGTTCCACACCCAACTGAAGGCATTTTTTCTAATAGATGTGTGATGTGGTGCAGTGGAAATTAGTCATTAGGATGGTCTTGGAGTGCAGCCTTACCTTTAGGTAGCCTCGCTCCCAGGCGATCTCTTTGCTAAAATCGAATATGCAAACCATTTCACTATAACTAAAAATGTATAAGTGTGCTCTATACAATCAAGGAGTGTGTGATATGAAAAATAGTTTATTATTACTCAAAACATTTTGTTGTTTACATTTCGGCATAAGCTAATATATGTAGATATTTATTGTATTGTTGTTGTTGGTGGTTGGTGAAGTTCAACTCGTGTTTAATTGCTCTTCAAGCGCCCGTCTTCCACCGCTGGCTGTAAACGAATGTATCGATGCTGCTGAGATATCGATATTCTAGTGATACTACTACTGACCCGATTATCGGCGCATCTCTTACAAGACATCACACCTGCAAATATAGCTGACGATACGGAAAGAGTTCATAAAAAGAAGAATATTCAATGATTTGCCAAGACAAAATGTATCTGTAATTTGCTTAAGCTACAGTTATCATCCTGACCTGCAATTACAGAAACATTTGTCGCGAGGTTTACGAAAATTGTATCCAGCCTTAAGGCAGAATGTCGAACTGGGAGTCTGGATGAATGGCGAGATATACATTGTGTATAATTAAAATCTAATTTGTGCTAATTTAACGCGTTTGTCTCGCATTACACAACGAGCACAACGCCCATCACTCCTGCCACGCCCACAGACCAACAAGACTGATATTGTCGTCCTAGGCGAACCTTTTTTGTTGCAAGCCAGCAAGGTATATATGTATGTATATGTATAAATATATATATATGTCTGTATGCATATACTAATTAAGACGCAGCAGAAGTATAGATTGAGGGAGAATAGGCCACCTCGTGACTATGAAAACTAATTGAAACGCTTAGGCGAAAGTTGGGAGCGACAAGCACTTAATGCATTTAATATAAGTCGAAGTGTTGCCTTACCGTTGAGTGTGGCGGAAGCCAAGAAAGAACGACGGCGGAGAGAAGCAATTTAAATCTCACTAATTACTTGGGCGACAAATTACGCAGCAAGACAGCAGCTAGGAGCGTACACACACACACATTAACACTCTCACGCACATACATTCATACTCAAGGAGAGCTGGGGCACTTATACAGATTTTTGCACTTAAAAACAATGAACAGGTGTCGGACTCAGCCACTCGTCGTCACCCATCCGACTAGCGTTCATCCAGCGCATCTCAGAGTTGTTAGAGTCGTCCTCTATTTTGAAAAATTAAGTGTCATTTGGTTGTCTCATGGGTTCATTGTTTTCAACGTGTCCACCCTCCATCCCTCCACCTTTCCCCCCACCCACCAACATGCCTAGACGCTACCTAGACATCTTCTAGGCAGCTGTGCTTATTTTGTTGTTGTTATTTTTCCTTCGCGCCTGGGGCTGAGCTCATCGGCTTGCTACTGCCGTGGATGCCGCATGTTTAATTCAACTTCTGGCCCAGTTTTACCACCTGCCACCCCTGCCACTCGCCACTGCAATCGACAATGAGATAGTTAAGCGTAATTACCAAGGTGGCAATTGAACGAGATAGCGGCATTGAGTGGGTAGATGAATCTCTGGATCTCAGACATTAATTATTATTTGTACGTTTATTTATTATCCATAGGAAAGGTGTACAAATTGGGCAGTGATAATCAGAGCTAAATTCTAAATGCCTAAACTGACATAATGTAATAAATATATAACATATAAATACGATTGAAACACTAAATATAAACAATAACAGAATTTAAGTAAAGCTTAAGTGCAGCAATGAATAAGACAAAATTGTATGTACATGAAAAGGATTTTTATCTCCATATTTAATTTCATAAAATCCGTATTATATATTTATTAAATATGAAAATTCTGGTTGCTAAAAACCATTTTAGCAAATTATAATTAAAATGTCATTAGAGTTGCGGGAGACAGTTAATTGCAGCTGGCCAAAATTAATTGCTGCTCCATATTCAGAACAGTATTTATTAAATAATACCAAGCATTCATAACATATATTCATAAATACAATTATAAAAATATGGAAAAATTAAATTTTCACTGTGCTCAAATCAGTATTCGTCTATACTGCTTCGTATGAATTATTGATTAGTGAAAATGACACACGAAAGTCATTTTCGTAGAAGAAACATTGCAATTCACTTTCGCAATTGCTGTGCGAATTGTTTTCAATGTCGATGAAGACTTCATTTACTTACTTATTTATGCAACTAGATTTTCTAGTTGACTTCTATAAAATGAGGCATTTACGTATGTTCTAATTGCATGGATAAGCCTTTACAATTCTGTTACTTACAATAAATATTCATTATTTAAAGAGTTCTCTTCAAAAACTCGCAATTGACTTGAAAACCAAGTTGCGATTCTCCATTCACTTATGTTATTGTACCAATTATTGTTTTTACTGCATAAAAAATAATAAAGGACAAGCCTCTGAGTAACTGCCGAAATGAATTAAAAACATGCGCCATCTGCAATGTGTTACGAGGCGCAATACAATTGCAGTTTCTTGCAATATTTTTTCGTATTTTACCCACTTGGCTTAAGCCAAGGCAACCAAAGTGTTCCACAAGAGAGTTTGCTCGACGACGAAATACTCGAACAAAATGTAAATGGGTCTAATATAACCAAAGACTCAAAGACAATAGAATTTTATTTGAAAATGATCTCTTTATAATAACCCATATGTATTTGTTTGCAGCCAAAAAATATCACATTCTTGATGGATCTTTTAAGTGGCTGATGTACTTATAAATGTGGTAATGTTTGTTCTGTTCAGGAAATGTATTACAAATGCTATGACGAAATATCCATACCCTCTGTGTGAGCGTATAAATAACAGCAATAATCTTGGATTACGTGCGGAAATTACTTAAAAAGATTTTCAATTGTTCTCTGGCAGAGCGTAGTCATACATTTGAGTGTGTGTGAAAGAAAGAGGAGCTCGTTTAATTGTTTTTCATTGGTTGGCAAACGGGTAACGGCTGCTGTTTATTTTCTGCAGCAAAAGTTGCCCGGCTCCAAGCTGCAAGCTGCTGGCCATGTGGCAGTTGCCATGGTCTGATACCGAGCAAGTGCCAAGCACGCAGCTCCACAGTTAAAATAATGAACTTTTGTAGTGACAACTACAAATTTATGGCCAACTCCAGCTGGCCGGTCAGAGTCCGTGAATCATGCTTTGTTTTATTGCGCTTGCAGATCATGAGTATATAAGTAAACATTATAACGGATCAGATTATTCGAGGTAAACATGTTTATCTTTCAAAATAAAGCTTTCTTTAACTAAGGTCGGAACTTAGGAACATAGATATAAATACAATAAATTTGATTAATACAAAAGATAATGTTGGTTAATGATAATTTCAATAAGTATGTCTGAAGGGTTATTTAATATAAAGTTTCGTTTTGTATAACATTTTCCACGTTAAGAGTTTTTGTGGCAAATTAATGTTCACTGCATAGATTTATTTGTATTCAGTATATTTTCATAAAATCTGCAGTTGCTGTTTCAAATATATCAAATATGCAGATATCTTTCTCACTCGCACGCACTTAATGCATTGCTAACTCTGTTTATAAACTGTTTTAATTATGCAATAAAATCCACGAAAATTACAAAATAAATCCATGGAAAAAATACTTAATAAAATGGTGGAGCAAACTGTGCACAACATGATGAATTGAAATAAAATACGAAGAAAAAAAAAACGCCAACATCAACAGAATTTGCTGCTTAGCGGGCGAGTTTGAAGAACGCCAACTCATTTTAGCCAAGTTAAGCTGTATTCATTATATCTAAACTATGTTTTTTATTTGCGCAACTTGTTGTTGTTCCTGTTGTTCTGCAAACTGGGCGGAAATGTTAATATTGCAAATGTTCTTGTTGTTGGAGGAGGGATTACTGTAGCTTTTCCTGCTGTTCATGTTGTTGTTGTTGGCTCGCAGTTTGGTATTATAGAACATTTATTGATGCTTGGACAGGCACAATAACAACGAGCAGCAGCAGCAACAGCAGCGTCGTGATGGGCGATACACATAGCTGGGATTTACATGGGGATTAATAAGCAATGACGACGACGACGACGCTGCATTTTATAATAAAATAGGAGACCTAGCAAGAGGGAGCAACCCAAATGTCAAACCTCAGCCAGACGCTTGAGTTGAGGATGCTGACGACCACTTGCAACTTTATTAACTACGCTTATACCTTTTTAATGCCACTGGGCTGACGGGGCAGACTGCCTGGTTGGCTGGTTGGTCGGATGGTTGGTACGGGAGCTCTGCTTTGAGCCTGCCAACTGCAGTTCACTGCGTTGGCTTATTAGTTTTCTTTTTTTTTTTTGTTTACTCTGATACAGCAGGTAGAGGAGTATATTGGTTTTGTTCTTGCCGTCTGTCCGTCCTTATGAACGCCCCTCTTTTCGGGTCACGTCAGACAAATTGTTAAAATAGGGTGCCATGCTGAGAAATCGATGCAATCATATATCTTCCAAAATATGTCAGCTAGTGTCAATAAACGTGAAAGGTAGATTTGAGCTCCTTTAAAGATTGGCACATATATTTCTGCAATGGGGTCACTTTTGCCAAAGTTGTGGCTGTGCAAAGTTTTGACCCATCCCTAAAACAAATTTACGACGTTATAATTTGAGCATGAATGTCGAGCTGCAACAGCGATTTTTACTTCGAATGCAGTATTTATGTAGAAGTCAAACCCTGATCAAAAATCGCCTTGTTTTTAAAAATCGGGTTCTTAAGAAACTTATGGCAGTGGAAACATTCGACCTACCAGTTTGACTATTTGAGTGTACAATTTTAACTTGTATTTCAAGCGATAATCGTGTTCCAACTATGAATGTAGTACTTATGGGGAAGTGATTTCCGAGCTAGAGTAGCGGACCATTTTTGAATGTAGTATTAATCTGTGGGTTAAGTCTGCCCTCACAAATCGGAGAAAGCAAATTTAAGATATCCATTTCGTGATTTTTCAATGGTCGAGACACGCACACTCACAGCAGACCCGTATCAACTAAGCATCAGGGTATTCTGCAGTCGTCTACGTCCGACTGTAACGCTCTGACTTGTTTCT